GCTTTTTCTAGGATTTTGGAAATGAAGGGCAGGTTGGATATGGGTCTATAGTTAGCTAAAACCTCTGGATCAAGTGTAGGCTTTTTAAGCAGAGGTTTAATAACGGCTAAATAATAAAATAACGGCTTGAATTTAGTGACCTGATATTTAATAAAGCGCATTTTATAGTTATGTTTTTAGCTGATGTTTTGGCTGTGTTAATTTTGACTAGGTTTGAATGTATCACCCCTCTCCTGTGTACTTTTGATTTAAAGAAATTAGGTGGTCGGGTGGCAGACACAGTTTCTATAGGACATTGMGATGGTGACTGTTTGAATAGAAGCGCAGAGAAGCGTGTAGGACTGCGACTCTGCCTCCTGGTCTCAACTCTGGATTGTCACGGTGTGGACTTTCTAACAAATGTTGTCATGTTTCTAGATATGASAGCTGCTCCATCCCAAGTGGGATGAATACAGTCTCTCCTAATCAGACCAGGTTTCCCCAAAAAAGTTCTCTAATTGTTAACGAAGCCCACGTTGTTATCTGGACACCACCTCGACAGCCAGCGGTGAAAGGATGACGTGCGGCTAAACGTGTCATCACTGGAAACATGAGGCAGGGGTCCAGAGAAAATTACGGAGTCCGACATTGTCTTTGCATATGTACACACCGAATCAATATTGATTTTTGTGATCTCCGACTGACGTAGTCGGAGGTCATTACTGCCGACGTGAATAACAATCTTACTGTACTTACCCTTACCCTTAGCCAGCAGTTTTAAATAGGACTCTACGTCGCCCGCTCTAGCCCCGGGAATACATTTAACTGTGGTCGCTGGTGTCGCTAACTTCACGTTCCTTAGAATAGAGTCGCCAAGCGGGTGTGTAGCTGAGTGGGGAAAATTTATTAGACACGTGATCAGGTTGGCGGTGAACCTGGGGCTTCGGTTTAGGGCTACGCTTCTTGTTTCGCACAGTCACCCAGCCGACCTGTCTTCCCGGCTGCTCGGGAGCTGCTGGGGGGGCTGGAGAAGCTACAGCTATGTGGCTCGCACCGGCTACTGGGGACTGGCTAACTACATCGCTACACGATCTAATCTCCATGGTGCAGAGCCGCGACTCTAAAAGGCTCATCCTCGCCTCCATCCTGGCAAATAAGCTACATTTAACACATGTATCGTTATCGCTAAAGGAGGCAGAGGAGTGACTGAACATCAAGCACACTGAGCAGGGGAGTGAGAGGGAGAAGCCATCGTTAAGTGCTAATGCTAAATTGCTTTAGCTAACACGGGTAGTGTGTAGCTCACAGTGATTTTAAGAACGAGTCGCTGAGACAAGGGGGTGTATGAGCGACAAGTCAAGATAGCACAACTATGAAAGTAACTTAGAATTAGCTTAAATGATTAAGATGTGAAAGGGAAAAGTGAGAGACGAAGAGGAGAAGAGACCGGTACAACCATAGACTGTATGGGCACAACACACAGTAGCTAACACCGGAAGTGACACAATACGCGATACGCTCACCGCAATACGTCAGCACGTCAGAGGATCTTGAGTCTATGATTGACATGTGGAGGATTCTATCGCCATCATCAACATTGAATTGAAAGCAACATCCAAGTGGTAAATTCTGATAAATACTAATTTCAGCACTGTCTCTGCACTGTTTTAGTGGAGACCAAAACAGTGCATATTGGATATTTGGATATTTCAATGCTGCTATAAGAACGGTGAAAGTGAACAAAAACTGTAAAGTTATGAACTGGAAAATTACATGCAAAGGCCAAAAGAAGATCTGAAGAAAACTTGGTGAGGTGATAATTCTCTCAGTTCATCTCTACAAGCAAATACATTTTTCTAGAGCTATCCAGAAATCCCACATCCTACATAAACTCCAAACAGATGTAGCCAATCCATTAATTGCGGTGGGAGTTATCAAGCACACCTGACATGAGAAATAGAAGCAGGCCACTACAGATACCGACAGATGTATTGAGGGTTTTAAAAGACAAAACTTAATATAGAAATGAATGCATAAATAATTATATAAATACATAAACAAATACATAATTATATAATTAAATGCCTAAATAAATGACTTAATGTGTAATTATTTATTCATTTATTTATGTATACATTTATATGTTTATAATTTTTTTATTTATTGTTTTATTTATATATTTCGAATTGTGTTAATACTTTTATAAATTCTTTTATTTATCCATAGAATAACTTGCTGGACAGAACAAAATAGATCTATGAGTGTGGTTTGCACTGTGAAGCTACAATCCAGCAGACGAAGATGAGGTGGAAAGAAGTCATACAATTCAAAATAAATATAATATGGTCTTTTTTTAAATGATTATTATTTTATTATTATTTGGGAATATTGTGAATACTAGACATTCTATTCTACACTATATCAGTTGGACTGATACTTTTATTTATGACACATTGTCAAAAACATCTCAATAAATTAAATCAATGTGAATGAATGAATGATAAATAATTTCATAAACCTACACAAAAAGAATAAAAATGTTCTGCTAAAAGTTTAAAAGCAGAGATTGGTTCTCTTCCAGTGAGCACTGACAAACACCCCACACAGCCCTGAAACCAACTAGGTATAGCTCAATGTATAATCCTCCATTGGATGTCAGCCATCCGTTTCTCAACAGGAGGCTTGTACGAAGGTCCGGAGAGGCTCAGGCAGTGATCACACACCTCGTCCACCAGGCACCGCAGCACTCTGGTTGACTGTATTGTCCGTCACCTCAGCCAGCCTCTTGTGTGACGTCCTTGTAAGGGGGTCCAGCTTCAGCTGAAGAGAAACCAGAGTCAGACAGAAAAACATTATTAAACAGTGACTCCTCAAACAGCCACATCCCAGGCCTGGGGTAAGGAGGTCTAGTGAAGCTCAGTGTCCTCCAGGTATCGATCATGGAGCTGTAAAACAATGTAAGTCCAGTCAGTTATAATTGAGGGGACCTCATCAGGAACAGCTGTTTATTGTAGCCGAGCCGCCTGGCTCTCCAGAGCAGCAGCCGGGCCACAGCTGACCAGCACAGACAGTAACTACAGAGCTGCCTGCACTCTGAAAGCAGCAGTCTTGGATATGATGTCTGTAAGGCCCTGTCCCCCCTCTGCCACAGGGCGGAACAGGATGG